TGCAGCTGCTCAACTCGCTTTTTGCGCGAAATTCGCGCAATAAAATTGTACAACAAAGTGGCAACACTCAAAAATCTATTGTTTTCTGCAGCATTTTGGCTGCTCGACTAGGGGTATACCCAAGAAGCGTAAATCTGGGAGCGGTCAGAAGGACAAAGATAGATCAAGATATACGTCTAGATGCAATATACATATATCCACATCGTGCAACATGCGTGTAGAATATCATTGGGCATTGAAACCCTTCCAATTTATTGTCTTATCTTTTTATTTCTCGTATTTAATTGAAATGCAGTCCAGTCAGTGGAATATCAAGGTGCTATGGCTAGCACTAAGGACTCTTGAATCCTGCCATACGAGCTAAAATATCGCATGGGAGAATGTCACACATTTCTTGCTGAAATATTATCCCTGTAGATGCAAGTATATGCAAATCGTAGCACACTTGACAGGCACTCAGCTCGTTTATTCCATGGAGCACTTCCTATTATCCCCTTTTATGATATGTATTACAAAGAATCCCCCAATCAATGTGGAACTTAAAAAAGAAATGCATAAATTTTTGGCAAAAAAGGAAGATGGAGATGTAGATGGATTTCCACCTGCTTATCTACATTTTATTTATGCATAGATGCAGATAGATGATTTTGTTCATGTGTAAGTACATTTCCCAGAAATGATGTTGGGCATACCCCCGAGACGGCGAGTGGAAGATGGAAAGGGTACAAAAAACGGGAGGACGTACAAAAATGGGGGAAAAAGAACTGGATCTGGGGTTTTTCCTCTCTGTGCACAGATGAGTCAAAGGAAAATGTATAAAAAAGAAAACTCGTACTCGTATTTTTGTTCTTTTCTTTTTTTTTAGCTGTTTGTTGGTATTGTGGGTTTGCTTTGTGCGGGATCTGTTTTTCGGTGGCGTAGGGGTCCTGGTCCTGGCAGGGGGTAGGGGGAAAAACCACTTCGTTAAACTCATGAAAATCACTTAACGGAAGCATGCACGTAAAAAACGAGGGGGGGAAAATGCGCGAGTGGGAGGAGGACAGAGGGACGCAGGACTAGAAATAGGAAGCCATTTTCCCTTTGACTGACGCTGATGCGAAAAGCCAAAAAGGTGCGCCCCGACAGCTGGTGGCAGGCAGAGCTTAAATAGCAAATTGATTTAGCGCGTGCAAGCGGAAACAGCTGTTCGCTTAAAGCCCCACCACTACCACTGCCACTCGCATTGCTGGTTGGAGGCGCCACCAGAAAAGGTTAGCAATGAAATGAGATTAATGCAAGACCGCAGCCCAGCCCGGCCCTCGCAGACGATGCAAAAAAGAGCAGAGCACACGGCAAACAGACAGCGGGAGAGGGCGGCGACACTCAGCCAAACAAACAGAGCGAAGAGCAGGACCCCCCCACCGCCACCACCTGCTCGACGGCGAAGGGCGATGCGACCCACTGGCATGGAAAATGCAATTTATTATGCAAAATGGAAAAACAGGCGGCAGAAGGGGAGTGGGGCAGTGGGACAGCGAGAGGAGTCAGACAGAGATCATGGCAGACATTGGACAGAGGAGCACACACTCGAGGAGGCTCTCACTCTCTCTCTCTCTCTCTCGTGCCCTCTGCGCACACAAAGCGCGTTATTATTGTAGGACCAACAATAACAGTGGGGACTACAGTCCCGGATATAAACATAATTCAATTTTTATTTAATTTCGCACAACAAACACAATAAATTCCGCTCGACTGCACCACCACCAACAGCCCAGCCCAGCTCAGTCCGTTCCTACCCTACCCTACCCTTTGGAGTCCTGCCAAACGCGTTTTGTTGCATACTCCAAGGCGTCGCCGCGTCTCGTCCCTACCGCTGCAAGCCAATCAGGAGTCGCTGGCCTGCCCTCGTCCCCCTTTGTTCGGTGAATGAAATTGAAGCAACACTAGCCACGAACAGATCCCACTGCAAATGTCGGTGGCCACAATCTGTTGACTCATTTGTGTCCGCAGGAATGACGCCGCCGACCCCACACAGTCACAGTTCCAGGTCCCAGGCGAAGCGAACGATGTGGGCGCAGAGCAAAGAGTGGCCACAGGCTGCACTCGAGCTGCCCCATGGCAGACTCAGACTCAGACACAGACACAGGGATTCCCGACCGTTTGTTCACACAATGCGGTTTGAGGAGCAGAACTGAGTGCTCCCAGAGTCGGAGTGCCGGACGGTCGCAGTGTCACCAACTTTGCCCTTTTTTTTTTTGACCATTTTGCGGTGTTACACATGACATTTTGGCGTCGAGACGTTTGAGGATTGATCCAGCGAGTTGGCAGGGATTTCACACTGAAGAGAGGAGAGAGAGAGGTGAGACGATACTCATAGTTGATCCCCAAACATGTCTCACCCTGGTTTTGCCAAATATTCACTTTGTGAGCTTTATAACTAAATGCAAATTGGTTTCAAATCTGCACCCAAAACACACATTTCGTATCCTCCATTAACAGTGTGTACTCCATTAATTACACCAGTTATATATAAAAGAAGCTTTCAGTGTGGGATTATTAAAGGGAAAACCCCCAAAAGGAGCAGTAGCCTGTCATTGCCATTGTAAACTAGAAAATGCTCTCCATTGCCCCCAATAAAGTTGCCCGCCTCCACAGAACCCCTCCGTAGATGTCATCAAATCATTAAATTAATACATTTAAGGGCTAAAAGTCGAAGCTTCGCTAATTGCCAAAAGCCCCATCAAGAGCTGTGCGACAAGCCCTTTGGAAATGGGCCCTCAGACCTCAATCAGCCCAAGGGACATGAAATATTTACACGTCAAGGAGTCGGTCGCGAGTCGAGGCTCCGGCGAAATGTTCGAAATACACGCAAAGGGCGGCGACACAGGCACAGACAGAAAGGAACCGAACCTAACCTAACCGAACCGAACGGAACCAAAGGCATGGCTGTGTGGGGTTTATTTATTTTTAGCACGTTTATAAGGCCATCATCAGAAAAGGTTAGGTCAGGCCAGGCCCTAAATATAAAGGGAGGAAGCGGCCCCCCGCCAACCCGAACCCGAACCCGAACCCACTGAGCAGTCTCTTTGTTGGATTAGGTCGCATTTTGCATAATTAATTTGGATTCGGGCGCTCAAATAGGTGGCGGGTTCAAAGGGCACACGTTGCCAGCTCATTCGCTCGCTCGCTCGCTTAGGACGGCGGCTATTTATGCATAAACACGCCGCCTTTGACATCGAAATTTCGTTAGCGGCAAATGTCGAAAAATTGTGCGGAAATTGGGCCAAAGTTAAATGTTTGGCATTGGCCGTTGCAATCCTTTCTGGCCACAAGCACGCACACACACACACACTAACACGCACGCACACTCGCACACAGGACGTCTAAATAAATTGCTGTCATTTGAAAAATTTCCCCAAGGTGGGGCGAATGTTTAAAGCACTAAGTCCGTCCTTCTGCCCCTCTGTCCGTTCGTGTGTGTTGACTTGAGCTTAAAATCAAACCATTTGTCAGCAGGCAGCAGGAGGCAGTAGGACTCCAGCAGCAGGGCCTCTCAGGGGAGGCAGAGGCAGGGACAGCGGCAGCGGCAGAGGCAAGTTCCAGACAAGACAGCGTTGCATGTTTTACACATTTCACAAACACACACACACACACACACACACACATACACACATAGTGTGGATATGCTCATGGGAGGAGGATTGTCCCTGTATGTGTGTGACGCATGGTTGCAATTTGGTTGCACGGCCTCTGCCTCTGCCCCAGCTACGGCAACGGCAACGGCAGCGGCTGCTCTGCTGCCTGCACTTCAACCGCAACATACGAGTGCAATATTTCAAGCATGATTTCTTATACGGCTTATACACACGCTGGTCACTCCTCCTCCTCCTCCTGCTCCTGCTCTTGCCACTGCCACTGCCACACCACACCACATTGACCCTCAAAGAACGGCAGGGCGATGCGCTGCAGCAGCCTCGCCGCTGTGCCACTCCGACTCCGGCTCTGGGTCAAAGCGAAAGTGGCACATTTTGGGTGGAAATTTTGTTGGAGATATCTAGGTTACTGTGACAGAGTCGTTCTAGCTGCAGCAGCGGCAGAATCAGCAGCTGTTGTTTTTCCTGCTGTTGTTGTTATTGTTTTGGGCCTTGCAGCATGGCCTACAACGCACACAAACACATGCAGAAAGACACACACACACACACACATACGGACAGACCCAAATAAACATTTCAGGCGGCCCTCCATTCGGACTCACGTGAGGCAGCAGCCATGAAGCTCTCGAAGACCCCGGTAGCATCCACTGAACTTGTGCGCCATTTTTATTGCCGCGTTGCCTGCGCCATTGTTTTGTCTGTCTCCCACTCTCACTCCCCCCCCCCTCGCACCCATCGCACCCATCGCACCCATCGACGACCTCTGCCCTTCTCGCTTGCTCTTTGTTTTTCATCCTTGTTGATGTTTTTACTTTCATAGGGATCTATCTACCACCCCGCTGCTGCCCAGCGGCAGCTTTTCCTGGTTATCTGCTTACGCTCTTACCCTGTTTTACCCTCCTTTTTTTGCTGTTGGTGCCTGCCCCAACTTTTGGTGCACGGGCTTTTTGTTTATCCGAAGCACTTAACTCTTTGCTTCGGGGGCGGCAGAGCAGCAGCCAAGTAAAAACTTTAAGATAAACTTCTGGCCAGGCCAACTTCTTAAACCAATTAATTGCAATTTCATGCGTAATTAATTTGAGAGCTGCACAACGTGTTCCCCACCCCCACCCAGAGTTTCTCTTTCGAGTGATTTGCTTTGCTTTGCGACAGAGCAGAGGAAAACCCGAAGAAGTGAAGAAAGGATTCATGCAGGACTCCAGTACGAACGTCGGTCCGTTCCAATTCGATTAAATTTGTTTAGGGCAAGGGATATTAAAGGAAATAATATGAACTTTAATGCCTTTCGATTAGTAGCCATTGCAAATCCATTCCAATTTATTCCCAACCCCAAACAATCCTACGAAATACTCATATATAGTAAATATATTTCGCACTCGTTTTCCCAAACCAAAACCAAAAAGTAAGTGAAAACATACACGCCCTATTAAATATACGTAGTACATATTGTCCATGCTATCCTCCAGACACTTCCGATGGCCTACACACAGTTCGAGTACCAAGAGGACCTTTTCGCGTCCGTCTTGTTTCCCCTGTTGGGCATGATACTCGTCTTGATACCGGCCACCCTCTGCTGTTGCTCGCGTAAAACCCAATGGAGTCCCAGCCAGATGGGCCCGCGGGCAAAGACCACGCCCTGCAGTGTCCTCGGATCATTTGCTTTGCTCATCTTCATGGTCGTGGGCTGGACACTGGTGGTGCTCGTGGGACTGTGCCTGTTCGACTACACTCGTTCCGTCTTCGATCCCTACAAGATTCTGCATTTGCCGCCAGCCGCCTCGCAGGCGGAGATCAGGCAGGCCTACTACGAGCGCTCCAAGCGGCTGCATCCGGATGTGAGCGGGACGGGCGACGTCGAGGATTTCATTCTGCTGAACACAGCCTACCGTTCCCTCATCGCCGGCGCGGGCAACCGCAACTATCAACTGTATGGCCATCCAGACGGCGCGCGGCTCACGACCCTCGGCGTTGCTCGATCGGCCAGATTGGCAGGATTCTACAAGTGGGCCGCCCGGACCGTACACTCCATGGACCAATGGCTGAAGATCAAATTTACGTAGAGCTAATCTGTTGATTAATTTTTTCTGTTTGCCTTTGCCCTTGCCTGCTCCACCTCCAACTGTGAGACACTTAAATTAAGACCCAATAAATCCTTTGACTCTGTTCTCCCCTGCAGAGTTCCATGACCCACTTCTTGGTGGTAAATTGCCAATCGAATTTCCCTCTAATTTGCCATCAATTTCGAATTTCCTCGATTCCTGCAGCACGAGCAGCAGCACCAACACTCGGGGCAACTCATTAAAAAGTGAAAACCGAATGTCACTAAGCGAAATTAATCCGAGTTCGTGTACGGAGGGGTCCGTGTACGAGGGGCAGTTCCTGTGTGTACTTCCGCCGCACATAAGCCATAAGCCAGTGTCCTGGCTACGACAGTACGTGTGTCCGTGTGTCCGTGTGCCTTTGGCTCGTTGACCGGAATGCGGTTCATAAATTGGGTCATTTGCCGCAGCGAAAGCAGAGAAAGTCACTTGCACTTTCACTTTCAATAGCAGGTCGCTTGCACAGCAGTCACGTAGCACCAGCACCAGCACCAGCGCCAGCACCACGTGGCTGTCCCAGGGATAATTCGGGGTGCGGGGCTATAATTTTGCTTTAACCTTATAAATTGGAAGATTGGAGGGTGGACAGGCGAATGGACAGACAGACAGACAGGCTGCCTCGATGCCATAATTTTGCAAACTTGCGTGCCACCAAAGCGACAGCCAAATGACACCACCGGCAGCTGGAGCAGGCAGGCAGGCAGGCAGGCAGGCAGGCAGGCAGGACGATGTCCGTGCATTCGCCAGCAAGCCCAGTCGGAACCGAGAGTCGGCTTTCTCTATCACTCTGTGAGTGTGTGTGCCCCTTCCTCTTGGCCAAACAACAAGTAAAACTGACAAAGTGGCAGCCAGGGCACTTCCTTTTGTTTAAGCTGCCCCCGACACTGTCGGCTGCTGTGGGTAGTGGGCTGTGGGCTGTGGGTTGTGGGTGTTGCATGCATCGTGAGTAGCCCTCTCTCTTTCTCGTTATAAATTGACCGCATTATTTTGCTCAATTTAACTTGAGCTTGCAGCACGGGCCAGTGCCAGAAAGAAGAGAGTGGCAGGCAGGCAGGCAGGCAAAGTTTTCAACTTAATATCTCATAAGTGTGCAATGGCTGCCCTGGCTGCTGCCCCAACGGTTTCCGCTTTCGTTTCTGCTTTCCGTTGCTCCAGTGGCTGTGGCAGGGTCAAACCCATCTCCACTCCAATTTCCCTTCCGCTGGCATTCGGCGGCTATCAGCTATCAGCATTTCAGACTGCGCTTTCTCTTTCGTTTGGCATAATTTTTTTATTAGGTCACACCAGCACCCACACACTGCAGCACCCACACACTGTAGCACCCACACACAGCACCCACACACAGCACACACACACACACATAAAAGCGGAGGTGGAGGCATCACTCGTTGCATGTTGCATGTGCCTGTTTTCTTTTTTTGGCAGTGGGATGGGAGTATGTTGAATATTTTCCCAGCACTTTAATAGCCGAAAGTATTTAATTGCATTTTTTATGGCACCCGAAAACGGCCTTGCCTTGCCTCGCTACGGATGCGAGGAGTTTATTAAATAAATGTCCATAAAAAAAATGAATGATATTCGAGCAGCACGTGGCAGGGGCAGGGGCAAGGGACAAAGACACGGTACAGGGGCAGGCGCAGAAATCGCATAATTACATCTGGAGAACACTTGATACGAAAAAGAACCTGATGCCGCCGCTGCTGCTGCCGCTGCTGTCGACAGGGCATAAAACTCATTAGGGAAAATATGCGATGGACAACGGATGGAAAAGAGGGAAATTTGGAGCACACTTCAGGCCCCCCATTCAGGCCATTAATTCTGGAGCAGCGGCAGCGGCAGACCTGTCGGGCCTAAGCCTCGACCTAACTAAAATTAAACGAATTTAAGAGGTCACTCAAGAGAGCCTTGCCTCGAGGAGCTGGAGAGAAAATCAATGGGAGTGCTGCCTTGCGGCTCCCGCTGCTGCTGCTGCGCTTCTCCCATCGACAAATGAAGTTCGCTGGCAGTAAGGCCGAGGATTACTGCAGCCCAGTGTCGAGTTACAGCATGGAGCACGCCCTCATAAATGTGGTATGGTAGGGCCTAAAGAGCAACAAGCGGCAGTCAGCCCGCGGACAATGGACAATGGATGGAGGGTATCTCAGCATTCATGCCAGTGCTTGTAAGCTGTTTTTTATATTCATCCTTTTGGCCAGCAACTCTTTCTCTCTCTCTCTCTCTCGCTCTCTCTGTGGCTTTGTTGGTCGCCGCATAATGAAAAAGCAACCGGCAAAGGAAAATCTTTAGCAGCAGCCGCAGCAGCAGCAGCAACAGAGAGCCCTTCCCAAAGTTTTTAATATAATTTGGAATTAGCCAAAGTGGCAGATGGCCATCTCCCACTCTCCTCTCTCTCTCTCAGTCTGTATGGGCTGCATGCTGCGGGCTTGGTTGGCAGCGGCCCCTTTGTTGCGTATACGCAGCGTGGGGCATATTTCGAGCCGAAAGAACCAAAGTTTGTCCCACATTTCGGGCAGAGAACAGTTTGTCATGTGAAAATTAAAAGTGCAGTGCCGGAAGGACCTTGCTGCTCATAAATAACCAAGCAAAAGTCCCCCCAGAAATACAGATTCAAAGGCGGCACAGGCGGCGTGTCTGGTCTCCATTTCAGAGTTCGGAGAATGCAAATCCACTTTAACCCTTGGCCTATGCATTGATTACACCCTCAACGATATGCTCTGCGGACTGGATCTTGTCTTTCGGTCCATCTGATGGACCTCCCATCCTGCCAGAGGAGCGAAACAGGGAAAAAACTTCCTCCGACTTATCTGTTAAGCCGCATAACTTTGCATAAATATGAAGCTATTCAACAGAACTCCGACAGAGCTCAAAAACAGCATAAAAACCTTACACAAAACTGCCCTGAGAGCCCCACTCCAATCCAGGCAACCGATGTCAGCGTCAGCAGGGACTACAACAACGGTAAAACTATTGTACGTACTTATATATATGTATGTATATGTATGTATATATATGCATAGATTGCGGGTCCGGGAATCCCATTTCATTTATTATATTAGCGACAGAGACACAGCGACACAGCCACAAAACTATACCAAGTGGAAGTTCAAACAAGAATTGGATTGCAGCTCTGAAAGGTTGACTATGAGAATACCCTGTACAAAACTATCTGCCACAGAAAAGTATCAAGCATCTCCAGTGCTAGAAATAAAATCGGGAAAACTTTTAGCATTCGTATAAGTCCGTAGAGGCGAGTCAGTGGAGTTTTCAAGCATTAATATTTCTGATTTTCTGATTGAATATTCGCTGCTGCCTCCACCAGTGCCAGACTTAAGGGGCAGCATAAAACTATGCAACGTCGCGTCCCACTGACAGCGGCAACTTTTCCGATGACGGCAAAACTTTAACAGATTTGCATAAATTAAACCCCAAGTAAACAAAACCTAGCAAAACCAAACGAGGAACAAAGACAGAGGCCACCAGCTACCAGCCACAGGAGCAGAAGCAGAAGCAGAAGAAGGGGCAGCAGCAGCAGGGGCAGGAGCAGGGGTAGGGGCAGACTCTAGTAGGAGTCTTCCTGCCTCCCACAGTCATTCATTTAACTGTCAATGGCGTTGTTATGCTGTGGTTGTGGCCACGGTCTGCCTCTGGCTTTGCGGATGCGACCGGCCACCATGGCGGGGTGGTGGTGGTGGTGGCGGCTGCTCGGCGAGAATTTATGAATTCATGGCGATCTTATGTGTAAGTACGTATAAATTTAATATATTTTTATGATTTTTTATGGGCCCACGTTCCCGGGAATGCGCTTTAATTTATGCTCCCATTGTTTTTTCCTACCGCTGAGGGACTGGAGCTGAGGCGATTTTCAACGACGACGACAACTTGTCGATAAACTTCCCGCGACTCAAACAATATTGTTGTCGATGTAAGTCCTACCCTTTGGTTTTGTTGTGCTGCAAAGTGTTTTGTTCCCCCTTCGCAAACACACACACACACACACCCACACAACACACACGCACACGCGGGAACTGCCGAGGGAAAATACTTCATTTTATCAGACGCGGGACGAGATTCGAGTGTCATCGTCAATATGCTCCGCTTCGGCGACTGCGGTTGACATGAGAGCGAACTAGGGAAAAGCAGCCGGGGGTTATTTAGTTCATTGGCCGCCAAAGCCTGCCGACACTCCAAAAGCCACTCTCCCCCCCACCACCGCCCACTACAGTCGCGGAGCCACGTCACATGTCGAGGGTCGTCCAACAGAATGTTTGCTGTTGCTTTTGCTGCTGCTGCTGTTGTTGTTGACGCTTGGTTATGGATTTATGGATTTACGACACTTTTGGTCGTTGCGGTTGTCAGTTTTCGGGTAAAAGTTATACTTTGCCACTGGCTTACAGTTGTGTCAGGTCAGGTTGGGGGTCAGGTCTCCTGCTGCTGCTCCTGCTGCTACTGCTCCTTCTCGACTAATCGGCCCTACCCTGCGGACAGATTAGATCCGACTCCGTGTGTGTCTCGTGTCTCAGCTACGGTTGGAGGTTGTCGAAATTCGACACGTCTGGGGGCAGCCATAAATACAAATGGTATGGGTATAATGGTTTACCTTGTGTCCGCTCGCGGTCTGTTCGCTGAACTGCAAATAGAGACAAGAGCAAAAAGAGTTTCCAAATAATTAATGATCGGAGTGTGACATCAGCGTACGAGGATACTACACAGTAGCTACATATCATTTATCATGGAAATATTTCCCAAAGAATTCCGTTCGCGTTTCCGCCCAAATGTTGTGCTATTAATTCCGTGGCCCGGGACAGGCGGAAATGGGGCGCTCTTCGCCGACATTAATAATGCAACAGCTGGGCGGGCGTCGGAGTTCCGCCGTATTTGTCAATACTATTCCTAGCCTAAAACCAATTATTATTCTCCTATGGAAAAACTATTAAATTACGTAATCGCAATTGGGAGGCAACCGAAGGACGTCGAGTGAGTGTCGATGGTAATTCAAGCAGAAAATGCAATTAAATCAAAAATACATTGATGCGCATCCTGTAAACGGACACACACATGGCACTCCCGCTATCCACTCGGTACATACACTTGTGTTTTATTTTATTTATTTATGTATGTACGTTTATTTGGATTTCATAAATTTCACGCTTCAATTTTCGTATCATACCCTATAGTACCTACATTTGGGTATATTAGTTCTGTGTAGCAATAGTTAACAGACAGACAGTGTAGTCGGATCAATACGAGTATTTAAATACTCATTCAGATGTACATCGACTCAAAGCTCGATGCCAGCAGCGCTCTTTAATCTTTGACCATCTTCATTCTCCCTCATTCTTCCTGGACACACACACACACGCACGCACAATTTAGACATTTATTTATTTATTATCTATTTATTTTATTTATTTATTAATTATTTTATTTATTTATTATTTATTTATTTTATTTATTTTATTTATTTATTATTTATTTTATTTATTTATTATTTATAAATTTATTTTCCCCGCATAGTAATATATTTTCTTAAATAGTTTTCAAAGTAAAAGAATTTATGTATTGGGTATCCCCTATCCGTAATGCTCTCTCTCGGCTGCATTCTCACTTGTATCCGTTTCGCCGCCAGGCACTATTAATGCAAAAACGAGAAATCACTGCAAATTCAATGAACCCAAAATGGATTCGAATACAGCCAAAGAGAGAAGGACTCTGCGGCACAGGACAGGACGGGGCAGGGCAGTTACGAGCTCTTGCCGCACACTGCACAGACAGTATGCCATGTGTCGTGTATACTGCATGCTGTATGCTGTATGTATGTTGTATGCTGTGTCTTTTATGTGTGCAACTTCATGGTTACTCAGCCATGCCCGACGGCCTGTCGTTGACGGGCAGCAGTCATAAGCCACTGCTTCAGTGGGCCCACCAGTCCACCAGTCCACCAGCCATTCAGCCATTCAGCCGTCGCCATTCATTCATTCACTCTCATCCTCGCATGTTTACAGCGAAAATATTTACATTGCTGGCACATAAAAACTGCATAAATGTGATTATATTTTCATTGGCTTTTATGCCTCGTAAACTGCAACCATGCCACGTTATGGCCAAGGGGAGGGGAGGGGAGCCCTTCCGCAGTAGTCATGTAATTCGATTGCGATTTCAATTAGCGTAAAATGCACAGCAAAATTACGGACAGGACAGGACAGCCCATGCAATACGTAACGAGCGGCATGCCTAGAGCCTTCAACTGAATCCGAAAAGTAGGCAACATGCAGGGCACTGCCTGACAATGTGTCATCTCCATGCCCCATGTGCCCCCACACACTGATGTGGCATAGAAAGTTAAGCCTCGTCCGGCCGCAGAGTGCTGTTCAATTAATAGCCAACTATAGATCAACTCTCGGATTGTCGGGAAATTGTTTGTCAGCTTACAGAATGCGGATATCAGGATGTCAGGATATCAGGATGTCAGAATATCAGGCATTGCCTGACAGGGAAAGCCCTCTGTGTCTCTGGGCTAATATACCAGTAATTAAGCACTTCCGCAAGCAAATTGGATTTTAATTGAAGAGCGTATAGAGCGCTCTCTCGACGACCCTCCCGCCTTGGTTTTGGAGTTTGCAACACAATGGAGTACCGTCCCGTTCCCGCTAATTGTCATTTAATTGACTGGCGGAAACTTTCGCCGAGACATTTGTTTATAAACCGCACACACAGGAAACAAGAAGAGTGAGAGAGAGGGAGAGACGAAAGACGAGAGGATAGCACAATACAAGCACTTATAAGATCATTACGAATTGATGCTGCACCACCCACACAACCACCCAACCACCCGTCCCTCCTGAGGCAGAAGGCAGCGGCAGGCAGGCAGGCAGGCAGACAGACAGCTCAGTCGCGCTTACGGCACCCAAGGAGCCAACAGGACGCCATCTCCCACTTCAGTGAAAATCCGCTATGGTAAATGTTATCTCTGCAAACATTTGACAATCAAAAATGCTCAATCCATTGTTTAAAATAAAAATCGAGCAGCAGCCAGTGAAGGAGCAGCAGCAGCAGCAGCAGCAGCAGCAGCAGAAGGATAGCCACGAACCGTGGTCATACAGATGGGATACTGGATGTGATACTGAAAGGTAAAATTCCTTTTGGATATCCTTTATATATAGATGAAAAAGAGTTTTATGAACTTGTTTGTGAGGCAAACTCGTTGGCTATATATCCCTCTTGGAATATTTTCGAACAATAAGGGAATTTACTTGGTTCGTCATCAGTTTTATGGCGTATCCACTGTGCAACGTCGTCTCGAAATGACTGTGGATGCCACCACCACCACCACCTCTTTGGAGGACAATGGCAGGCGACACAGCAAGGGGAATGGGAATGGGAATGGGAGAGACAACAAATGGCACAGCAGCAGTCGATGGCATCCTCGAGGCGGCGGCGGCGGCAGCGGCATCCTCCTTCTTCTCCTCCAGTCGAGGCGAGGTTAAGTTGACAAGAGAATGAGATTGCATTCTGCCATTCTGTCGCTGTCTCTGCTGCCCGAGTTCAATTCATTTCCACTTGAGCAAATGCACGTCTTCTAGATGTCGCTACTTTTGGCCATAGCCAAAGGATACGCCTGCTATCCTATCCTATCCCAGCAAAAGTAGCTGCAAAATGCCGCCCCGGGGGTGCACCTACAACTGGGAATCGAGTCGAGTCGAGTAGAGAGCTCCTGCTGCTGCTGCTGCTGCTCCTGTCGAATGTTTTGCCTTGAAAAACGTTCAGCTCTCCACCCCCGCTTGTTTGTTCAAGATTTGGCTGCTGCACAGTGTGTGTGTGTGTGTATGTGTGTGTTTGTGTGTGGGTGCTGCAGCATCATCAAATTTCGGTTGGGACAGGCACGAGTGTGAGGGAGTGAAGCAGCAAGGGTCCTCAAGGATTGTCACCCTGCTGTTGACACTGTTGACATTTTACAGTAATGAAAGTGATTATTGTCAAGGGTCGTCGACAAACAGTTCCTGAAGAGAGTCCTTCCACCCACTACTAAAACTCTCTCTCTCCCTCTCTCTGGCCATTCGGCTTTTTCCCCACTTGATGGCACTACCCCATTATTTCGGCTAACCACGTTTCCAATTTGCAAAATGCTCTTATAACACAACGACGAGGATGACTAGGAGGACGAGGACGACTAGGAGGACGAGTACTAATCATACAATCAGACGCCTGCGATGCAGAGACAATCTCGCGAGAAGGCGAAGGCGGAGACAGTAAAGGAAAGGCTGTGCCGTCTCTCCTGTCTGTCAGGTTTCATTCGAGAAATGCGCTCATCTGGCGCCGTATGCACTTCACAACTGCCAGGTGGCGGGTGCCAGGTGGCAGGGGCACGTGGCAGAGAGACAGTCATTTGGCCGTGCCAAAATCGTAAAGGCTGAAATTTAGGTTAATTGATAATTGATAAAAGCCGCTGCCTGCCTCCTCTCTGCTCTCTGTGTGTGTGCGATGTGTGTGTTCGACTCGACTTAAACTTTGGCCCATGAATATTTAAGAGGAGGCATGCCACTCACTACTCACTACTCACTGCTCACTGCAACTGCAACTGCGGCGGGGCAATGAAAATTAGCAAAGTAATAGAACTCTGCCACGTGGTAGAATGAGGTCACAACAGTTGACCCATAAACGTTACACCCCATTCTGCCCTCTCAAATGAACACGCAAAGGCCACGCACACAAATCATTTATAATGCACACACGACAACACACACACACGACCCTACAGCCGACAGTGACTAGCAAATTAATTGATGTAACTATTTAAGGCTCGGCTCTGCTCTGCTCGGCTCTGACGCCGAGGGAATCGAACCCTTGCGCTGGGCAATTTCTCCGGAACTCAATGCCATTATCCATCATTTTGTAAATGCCTCAAGTCAAAATAGTCGTGTACATTGCAAACGGAAATGTCTGTGGCAAGGAATCTCTACCACACACACGCACAAGCAGACGCCTATTGTCGACACTCGACACTCGACAATGTGTCCTTATTTGTGGTTTGAGGCTGAGAGACACAGACACAGACACAGACACACGCAAAGTAACAAAGTGAATGGCGGCAGACTTCCTCAGGCCATCGATAGGAGGGAGGCTTAAGAGCTCAAGAAATTGAATAGAATTAATAATAAATTGTAGTGCGGCCAATATCCGCCAAATGACCTTTCCATTTAGTGGCATATGTTTCTTGGCTTATGGCAATACAAAATACATAGAGACACATTCTTGTGGGATAAATTAAGAATTTGGAATTTAAGTTATGCACGTCGACAGAATATTTCCTTAGGCATGCACATATCATCGCATCGATCCCTGCCTGCCCTCTGGCTCCACTCTGCTGAAGAATCATAACTCATAATCAACAACTAAAATCAATGCTCGTAGTTCTTAAGCAAAATAATAATTTAAATATTAGCTTTAAAGATTGCGTCGGAATTAAATCATAGTATCCAAATGTTCTCCCACGAAAGCTGTCTTTTGGGACAGTATTTATTCCCTAAACACTCACAACAGCTAGTTTCCAAGTAATATTCTATTTATTAACGCTAATTGTTCGCTCGGAATTACTTTCAGTGTACTATTCTGCGATACGAATGCAATTGC